GGGCCGCGGCGGCAGTTGAGGCAGTCCGGCGGGCTGGCATCGAGCGCCTGCCATTCGAAGACCGGTGCCTGGCGTCCCGGCACGCCGAGCTAGATCTGGATGGGGGAGGATAAGCACGAACAGGAGGAGTTGTGGCAGGAGCTTTGTAGCTGATTTAGTTTTGAATCCGATTGTTGGATCTCCCCGACTTTTGCCAGTCATGCGACTGACCCCGGGGTGGCTCTGCCTGCGAGACGCGGGGCCTAGGTCAGCCTCAAGAACCCCCCCCCCTGCGGAGCGCAAGCTTTTCGAGGCCTCAGACGCTAAGGAGTGGAGCGCCATGATGTGCTCTGGGGCGGTGAAGGCCCTTTCCCCCGATGAGGCGCATCTGGCGCGCCGCCGGCTTCCGGACCGAATCCTCGGCAGTCGCGTGGCGAGGCGATTCAAGCCTCAAGAAGGCGCGGGGGCCCAGCCTGAAGCAAGAAGCCGATGGTGCGTCCAGGGGCGCGGAGACCCCGACTCCGAGTACCTCCATGCTTGCTCCCCCGCCCCCCATGCTGAGAGTCTGATGATCACGCTGCAGGCTGTTAGCTCGTTAGGCTGGGTGCTTGAGATTGCTGGCTCCAAGAACGCCTTCTGCCCAAGGGACAAGCTGAGCAGGCCGAAAGGCTCAATTGATGGAGAACCATGTAGCGGGCTATGTCTCGAGCCCAGGCATTGATTAAGCTTGTTGCACTGGTCTACGGACTCAGCGATGCCCTTCTCTTGTGGCATCGTGCTCTCACGAGTTTTCTCGTCTCAGACGGTTTTCGGAAATCCCTTGTAGAGCCGTGCCCATGGACCAAGCGGCCCTCTCTTGCGGAGATTCGCTCGATGATTCTGAGCGACGTGTACGATCTCATTGTGGCCTCGCACCCTGGCGAGCGCCAAGGACTTCGGGATCGTTGCAGGCTCGGTTTAAGCTCGGGAAATGGAAGTTAGGATCCGCAGAGTACGCTGGGCGCCGGATCCAGCAACAGCTCGGGCGAAAGATCATCGTTGATCAAGAGAAGTACATCGTGAAGCACCTCGCCGCCATGCAGTTGGATAAGTCTCGAAAGGCTGACCCCTCGTCGCTTCTGACGTCGTCTGAGGTCAAGGGGTATCGGATTTTGATCGCTCAGGTGCAGTGGCTAGGCCGCGAGACGAGACCCGACGTCGCTGGCTCTGCTTCTATGCTCAGCACGGCGCTGCCTTTTCCTACAGTGGAGGATGCGCTGCTGTGAATTAAGGTGGTCCGGCACCTGAAGTCCTCGGCGAGCCAGCGCATTGCCATCTGGCCCCTGGATGTTAGCTCAGTCACTTTCGCCGCGGTCTCCGACGCGGGTGGCCCTGGGTCCGCGAAACGAGGGGGTACTCAGGGTGCTTGGCTGGTGTGTGCTGCGGATGCTGACATCAGGCAGAACCGCTGGGCTCGCGTTTCGCTTTTATCTTGGTGCTCTTCTAGACTGAAGCGCGTGGTCGCCAGCGCTGGCGCAGCTGGGGCATTGAGCTCGTCGGCGGCAGTAGCCGAAGCTCAGTGGTTGCAGGTCCTCTGGCGCGACCTAATGGTTGATGATGTTGTGAAGCCCGACAGGCATTTAGGCCAGGCTCCGTTCTCTGTTGTCCTTTGCAAGGACTGCGAACTTGCGGAGTGCGTTGCTTCCCTGTCAGTTGTAGATGCAAAATCCATATTCGACACTTTGAGTCGAAACAGTTCAGGGTCCCGGGCCGACAGGGGGACCGCCATTGAGTTGGCGGCGATCAGGGATGCACTGTCCGCCATTGGGTCACAGGTGCGGTGGGTGCCGCATGGCCGCATGGCGGCCGACTCCCTCACGAAGGCCGACCCGGGGAGGGGCAATTGAGCGCTGCTAGACTTACTCAGTAGGGGTTCAATGCGTATCATTGATGATAGTGGTCATATGTCAGAGCGCGCCTTGAACGTCAGTCTCAAGACCCGTTCAAGAGCGGCCTCGAAGGCCGCCCTGGTTAGAGCTGCCTCGGGCTCCGAGGGCAGTGGAGGGGGTACCTGGAAGGTGTTCCTGGGTGACTACGGGACCCTGGAGTCGTTGCCCCGACGTCAGATCCACGAAAAGTAGTCCCGCTGTGTTCTGTGTCCAATCCTTCTCTTCCTCTTTGTGTCTTGCGCCTCATTATTGCCCTAGGTTATCCCTTTGGGCTTAGGCCTCACTATGACCTCGTAGCTCGGAGGCTCGAGGAGCCTTGAGGGTTTCCAAACCTGTACCGTCCTCATCCTGTTATTCCGATGTTTGACGACAGCGACGACAAGGGGGCGGTTGGCCATCAGATGCTCAGGTTTTCGGAGTGGCGGGGCGAGCGTTCGTACGCTGTCCCTACATGCGTGGCCAAGGCAAGGGTTCGGAGTGCAGGTCGTCGGCGACCGTCGCGACCGCGACCCGCTGTCGTCGACAGCAACCCGCCTGCACTTGCGTGATAATTAATGTAACGCTGACCCATCCGCTACGTGGTTGTGACCTTCTGTATCGCGGGCGACCTCTTGCGACCCGCCCGCGGCACGCGCCCATGGCCTGCGCTCCAGATGCTGGACTCCCCCTGCGACCCGCGATCCATTCGACCTGCCAACCGCAGCCCGGGCCGCTCTCGACCCGCGCTCGTGACCTGCCTGGGTTGCTCCTGCATCTTCATTCGGCAATTTGCTCTGCTTCCCAGCCCCCGCCAACCGAAACTCCTCACACCGTCTCCCACATTTCAGCCGAACGCCGCAACATGCCCAGCCTTTGCCACTGGCAGTTTGTTGGCAGCACGAAGGCGTGGATGTTGGGAAGGCCCACTGGCGGTCCTAGCCCGTCGAGCGACTTCTTGCCCAGGCCAGCTCTCGCACAGGAAACCAGCTCGCTGGCGCCCAGGGTGGCCAGATTCTCTGGTCGGGTGCCAACGCGGATTCTGACATTGTGTGACACAGCGGGCGCAGCCCAAACCATGTCCGAATTGATGCAAGTCTTCACGCAGAAGGGTACGGACAGTTGCGAGGCGATGGTGTACTTAGCCTTTTGCTGCCACTGTGGGGGGTGTTTCTCAGCCCTGACCCCTGAGTCTACACATCGCATCGGACCGTGGTGCCCCGCGGCTGTGCGACTTTCTGCTGCTGTTGCCCCCCACACAGAAGAAACAAGTATTACAGCACCGACCGGTTGCAGTCCCCACGGTAGGTCTTGTCCTGTGGCCGCGCTTCGGTGCATGCAGCAGCGGTCTCGAACCGTCCTGTCCTCCATAGGGAAGAAGACGGAGGTGATGACCCGCCCGGGTACCACTGAGTGAGGAAGGAAACAGGAAGGACGGAGGGGAAAAGAGGTGAAGTGAGGGGAAGAAGGAGGCTGATTGGGCAGGGGGTGGCATGCTTTCCCCATGTTCAGAGGCCTCGCGGTTGGCACCAACACCGACATCGGCGGTATGCCTCCGCCGAGGGAAGATGACCCCGATTTTGGTGACGGTGGTAGCACCTGGGCTTTCCAGGTGGCCGGAAGCTTACCACCAGCACCAGAATCCAGGATCATCTTCCCCTGGTGGAGGCAGCCCCGCGTGTTGCTGTCGGTGCTGCTTTCCAAGCCTCCAATATATGTCTCGGCAGTCCCCGTCGTCGGTCCTTTGCCCGTCGGTCTTGCCGTCCCCGGCACGCTCGCCACGTGGCAGACAGGGAGTGGAGGGGAACGGGGCCCAGAGCCGGGAGGCATTCCGGGCCTCCATTGGTGGGGTCCGAGCGGATGGGCTCGGAGGGTCGCGCCGCAGCGACGATGCATCGGCGGTGCGGCTCGTTGTGGAGCCCGCTGTTCTCCACACTGGCGTCGCCGATGCATCGCCGATGTCGCCGATGCATCGCCGATGCATCGGCGATGTATCGCCGATGTATAGGCGATGCGGCGCGATGTTCCGACCCCGTCTACTCCGACCCCATCTAGGAGGCCTCTCCCGGACGCACCCCCCAGGATCAGCTCCTCATCTTGAGCAGTTGTTTGACTGTCCTGGGGCGCGTGGAGGGCCACGAGGGGCCGCAAACGGCGAAACAAGTTCAGGTCACTTCTCACATCCAGGGCCCGCTTCCTTCATGTCTGCGGGTCGAAATTGACACCCCAGAGTCTTGGCAAAGAGGACGCTCTAGGAGGCCGGGCGAAGGGCTACAACAATCGGGAAAGCTTGACCCTCGAAGCTCGACGACCTCGATCCTCCAGGAGCCTGCCCCTCCATGCTACAGCCAAGCCGCGTCAAAAGGATGACGCACTCTCCACCAAGGGCACCGTTGAACCATTGCCTCTCGGCCCATCCTACGGTCAGGAACTTTGGCTCAGCGTGTCGCGCCGTCGGTTCTGGCCCACCGCGCTTCGGCGAGACACGCGATCCACGGCACAGTCCCCGACCGTCCACGCCCCGAGCTTCTCCGGGCCTCCCGCCCGGCGGAGCGGAGCGACACGCTTTCCGCTCGCGAGGTATATCGTGTCGCCGGGGCCGCCGAGACGACACGCTAAGCATAAGTTCCCGACCGTCATGTTCCATAAAGAGCTTGTTAACACCATTGCATTGAGGCCTATCCTAGGCAGTGGGCTTGGGCCATGGCGGCCATGGGCTTCCATCTCCAGCTTCGCATCCTTGCCGCGCATCCCCATGCACGATCAGATCCCGCGCAGCATGCGCTGCACTCTGCGGCGGGGCTCCCCTCGGGCAAAAGCCACAAGCTCCAATCCACGCTCCTCGCGCCTCGCTCCTCGATCCTCCTCCTCGCCCTCGCTCCTCGCTCCTCGCTCCTCGCTCCTCCTCCTCCTCGATCCTCCTCCTCGCTCCTCGCTCCTCGCTCCTCGCTCCTCCTCCTCGATCCTCCTCCTCGCCGTCCTCCTCGCCCTCCTCCTCCCTCCCGTCACGAGGGTGCCCCGGGGCGGCTCTGCTCCCTCTCCCGCCCGTGCCCTCCGCGCTCGCGCCGCGCGCGCTCTGCCGACTGCCCTCTCTGCCGCGGCCCGCCGCACGTCCAGGCGGCGCCCCCGCCGCCGCACACGGGAACATCGTCCAGAGGCGGGCGAGGGGGGGGGGGTTCTGGGCGTGGAGGGGGAGGGAGGAGGAGGAGGAGGAGGAGGAGGAGGAGGAGGAGGAGGAGGAGGAGGAGGAGGAGGAGGAGGAGGAGGAGGAGGAGGAGGGGGAGGGGGAGGAGGAGGGATGGAGGAGGAGAAGGAGGAAGAGGAGGAGGAGGAGGAGGACGACGACGAGGAGGACGAAGAGGAGGAGGAGGAGGAGGAGGAGGAGGAGGAGGAGGAGGAGGAGGAGGAGGAGGAGGAGGAGGAGGGGAGGGGGAGGGGGAGGGGAGGGGGAGGGGGAGGAGGGGGAGGAGGAGGGAGGGAGGAGGAGGAGGGAGGAGGAGGAGGAGGAGGAGGAGGAGGAGGAGGAGGGGGAGGGCACGGGGGGAAGCTGGCCCTCTTTTCCCGCTCCCCCCACGAGGAGGCGTGGAAGCGAGGAGGAGGAGGAGGAGGAGGTCGTCGTCCTCCTCCTCCTCATCCTCCCCCTCCTCCTCCTCCCTTTGTCTCCTGGCGGGCCTCTCTCCGAACGCGATGGTGACCTGTGGCCTTCTCTGCGGCTGGATCCTGTACGTATCCGCCAGGGTATTATGTTGGATATCGGGCGGGGAGGTCCACACCTATCGCGCGTTGTGGCAGAAGGCACCCCTGCATCTCTGCGGGGCTTGTGGCCGCTGGGCGAAGGCTCGCCCACACCGATTGCGGGAGCCCTGCACAGTGGCCACATTGGGTGCCCGTGCCGCACGCCACTTGTGAGTCCCAGCTGGAGGTTCGTCGGAAGCCGTGTTAAAGTCTCCCCCCTTGTGCAGTCGAGACTGATTAGTAGGTCGACTCTGCCAAATCGAGGGTACCCTTGTGTCCTAGGGCAATGTGGCCCTCGGAAGGGTCTAGTGTCCTCTCGCGTGTCCTTTCCAATCATCCCCGACTGTATAAGGCCCTTACAGCTGGGCTGATGCAAACTTTTCCGACCTGGCGGCCGGGCCTTGCAGCCGTTGCGTCTGGAGCACCAGTTAGGTTGATGCAGCCTTCCCAGTGGCCAGGCCGTGCCGTCGTGGCTTCTGGTGCCTCGGTGTTAGTAGCGCGCGGGAAAACTGTCCTCTATCCCTTGTCATCGAGCGTCGCCCCCTGTTTGTCTGGCGATAGTCGTCTTCTTCCTTTCCTTGTCCTCCCTCCTCCTCCTCCTCCTCCTCCTCCTCCTCGCCCCCTCTCCTGTCGTGCGGGACGCGGTGGCGTTCGGCCCTCTCGTGCAGCGCGTGCATGTTAAAGTCCTCGCGATTGCACTGGTGCAATCCGGCCGGGGCCCCAGCTTTGCCGGGCGTGTGAGGTGGGGTCCGCGCTTGGTCGTTTGTCATGAAAAATCATTGCCCTTCTACATAACTCCTTCTTGTCGCGCCCCCACACGCGTCGGTAGAGTGGGCTGGTCGTCTCGCCTGAAACTGCCTCACCAGTCATGATCCCGATTCCAGAAATTGAAACCAGCTTCAATGATGGAAGGTATGCTTTTCAACATGTGCCTCTCGCCTTAGCGCCGCGCTCTTTCGTCTGACAGGGATGCAGCAGCTTCAAAGATGGAGGACCGTTCCTTTTCAAGGTGTTCATCTCGCCTGAGCGCCGCGCCCATTCGTTGTCAAAGCCTGGAGCAGTTTCAGAGAAGGAGGGCGGGTTGTTTTCAACATGCGGCCCTCGCCGTAGTGCCGCGCATATTCGACTCAACACTTTGCAATCGTTTCCAGGTCGGAGGGTTGCTCCTGATCAATCTGTTTTTTTTTTGCCACATCGCCGTGCATCATCTTCTTCGGGAAATAGCAGCAGCTTCAAATATTCGTAAGGCTAAAGTTCCAGGAATGGCGTTGTGGCGCGGTTCAAGATTGTCAGGGCGCGGCATCCACGCTAATTTACGGCGTTGAAGTCCTAGGGATAGTTTTCTGGTGCAAGATAGGAATGACAGGACGTTGCAGGTACTTTGGTCCACGGCGTTGAAGTCCCTGGAACGGTGTGTTGGCGCGATTGATGGTTTCCAGAAGGTTGTTCCCTATCTGGGCTCTGCCTAGAAGGGTTCTTACTCGGTGTGCTGAAAGGGCCGGGCAGTGGACTACGCCCCGGGCGGTTCCCCCAGGATCCCCCGCTTTGCCTAGTCTAGCTTAGCTTACTTTAGCTAGGCTTAGCTGATAGCTTAGCTTAGCTTGGCTTAGCTGATAGCTTAGCTTAGCATAGCTTACCTTACCTTAGCTTAGCGCAGCGCAGCATAGCGCATCGCAGCATTAGCACAGCATAACATAGCACAGCATAGCATAGCCAAGCATAGCATAGCATAGCATAGCATAGCAAAACTCCTTATAGCATAGCATAGCATAGCATAGTATAGCTTAGCATAGCATCGCATAGCGCAGCATAGCATAGCATAGCATAGCATAGCATAGCATAGCATAGCATAGCATAGCATTACCTAGCACAGTACAGCGCAGCATAGCATAGCATAGCACAGCATAGCATAGCACAGCATAGCATAGCATAGCGCAGCATTGCACAGCATAGCATAGCATAACATAGCATAGCGCAGCATAGCATAGCATAACCTAGCCTACCATAACATAGCATAGCGCAGCATAACACATCATAGCATAGCATAGCGCAGCATGGCATAGCATATCATATCATAGCATAGCGAAGCATAGCTTAGTCTACCTTGCCTTAGCATAGCGCAGCGCAGCATAGCGCATCGCAGCATTAGCACAGCATAGCATAGCATAGCATAGCCCATCATAGCATATCATAGCATAGCATAGCGTAGCATAGCATATCATAGCATGCAACGCAAAATCACATCCAATGCGAAAGTGTATATGGATTTGTAGATGTTGGTGTAGGTGTATATGTGGATGTAGGTGTAGATGTAGATGTAGGTGTATATGTAGGTGTATATGTAGATGTAGGTGTAGACGTAGGTGTGGATGTAGATGTAGATGTGAGTCTCGCTGTTGATGTTGATGTATACGTAGATGCAGGTGTAGATGTTTAATGTAGCTGCCGGTGTAGATGTATATGTTGCTTTCCTAGATGCTCCAACTCCTAGGTAGGGTCGCACTGGGATCATTTTTCAATGAGGTGTCCCGCAATGAAAAGCACATCGCAGGGGATTGCGTAGAGGGAACTTTGAGGGACGGTTTATCGCAACATCGTCGGCGCGCTTCAGTTTCACACTGGTCCTCCTCCTCCCTTAGGCCCCCTCCTTTTTTCTTGTGCCCCCTTATATTCCGTCATCCGTCCTTCCTCTTTCTTTCTCTGTTCTTTCTTGTTGGTTGGCGTCCCAAATTGCCATAGCATGTGTTATAGTTTCGAGCTTGGCATGCTCGGAATATTTCACTTATCGCTGCAATCGCCAATGCGACACTTGGACACTCTAAACACAAACGTTTTTGTGTGTTGCTTTTCCAGGTCCGTTGTCGTTGCCATCGCAGTTGTTTACCGCGACTACCAGCCGCCAGTACCACTACCAATTACCATTTGTAGGGCCGCTACCACTACCATCACCGCCGTTCCCAATGCGTTGTTCTGGCGTTTTCGGCTTGACACGCGCGAGCCCGTGAGCAGCATTGAGCACAGAAAGGAGCGAGAGGGCTGCAACAGGAGCAATCCATAACTATCGAGGACAGTAAGACGGACAAGCAACGCCCTGCGTCGATATAGACAAAACGCGCTAGAGCAGCTCCCACCCCAGCGGGATGTGAACACCAGACAAGCGCTTGCGAGTACAACAGACACCGCGCTCATATGCAGAAAGACATTTGTACGTATGTAAGAATGCATGCTTACACGCACATATATATACACATGTACCAATGTATCAAACAAGTTCAGGCTCTCTTCCAGCATCAAATATTCGCTTATGTTTATTATAATGCTTCTCTTCTCACGTCACCCCTCTTGTTCTTCCTGGTAGTCCTTGTTCCTCTTCCTGCGGCTGCTGTTCCTCCTCCTGCCCGTACTCCTCCCTTCCATGAGGGGGAGAGATAGAGTAACAAGAAACAATCCAAGAGAAACAGAGAAACATATGGAGAGAGAGAGGGAGAAACAGAGACAGTGCCAGAGAGAGAGAGAGAGAGAGAGCCAGCGAACGAGAAAGGCAAAGAGAGCACGAGAGAGAGAGAGACGAGGCAGCAGCGATCTCTGTGAAATCACCTTGTCTGGGAGGCCGAGGGGCACGAAATCTTTCAATTTCATATGCATGTTTGAGATTTCTGTGATGAGAACCAAGGAAACGATGTTCTTCATTTGTTTGAATTTCTGGGCTTTTCCATCCTCCGAACAAAAAACACCCCGGACCCTCTCTCCCGGAGCGCGCCAGGGGCCGCGCCGGAGGCGCCGCTGGGGGAGCCCCAACGCCAATCCAAAGAACCCCGACCAGTCTCGAGGGGACAGCGCGAGGAGTTTCCTTGGGACGGCCGAGGCTCGAGGATGGGACGAAGGGCATCGAGCAGGGCGAGGAGCCTCGGAGCAGGACGCAGAGCGAGGAGCGCCGAGGAGCAGACGAGGGGGCCATCGGGGAGCAGGACGAGGAGCGGGATCGAGGAGCATCGAAGCGCCTCGAGGCGCAGCGGGGTCCCAGGGGAGGGGAGGGCCAGGAGGCCCGCGGGGCTGCCCTGACCAGGCCGCCACGAGCCCGACGACGGCGCCGCGGAGGTCGGCGGCGCGCCGCCGCGGAGGTCCTCGCCGCCGCTCCGGCCGCAGCCGACGAGGCTGCCCCGCCCGGCCGCTCGCGGCCTCCGACGACGACGCCGACGACGCCGCGGCCGCCGCCGCCGCCGCCGCCGCCGACGACGACGACGCCGCCGCCGCCGACGCCGACGCCGACGCCGACGCCGACGCCGACGCCGACGCCGACGCCGACGCCGCCGACGCCGCCGAGGCCGACGACGCCGACGACGCCGACGACGACGAAGACGGCCGCTGGCGTCCAGAGGTCGCGGTACGTACGTCTCCTGGAGGTCCCCGAGGATCCCCAGAGGCCGATCGCGGCCTCCGACGGCGGCGCCGACGGCGCCGGCGACGGCGACGACGCGCCGCCTGTCAGACCTTTGAGAGGAGGACGCCGTCTGGGCCGCCTCTCGGAGGCCGCGTCGCCACCGCCGGAATCGGCTCGGAGTGCTGGGCAGAACGCGCCCGAGGGAGAGGTCCGGGAAATGTCGGTACTGGTACCTCTTCCACGGCCTCGCCTCTCCCTGGGGGCCTCTCCTCCTCCTCCTCCTCCTCCTCCTCCTCCTCCTCCTCCTCCTCCTCCTCCTCCTCCTCCTCCTCCTCCTCCTCCTCCTCCTCCTCCCCCAGCCCGCAAGACTTTCTCTCCGCAGCGAGAGCGGACGAAAGCGCGCTCAGATCGCGGGCGGGCACGCGCGGGACGAGGGCGGGAGCAGGGCAGGAGAGCAGGGGCTACGCAGAGAGCCTACGGCTTGAGGAGCGCGCAGGTAGCCTTATGTCGGGCCTGTCCCCCTACAGGGAGATTTCCGACGAAAAAATACCCCCAAAATAGTCCAAAAATAATCTAAAAATAGTCTGGGAACTATTTGTTATTTATGCTTTGACCTTTTTGGTGTATTTTTGGGGTATGTTTTATTTTTCGTCGAAATCCCCCTGTAGGGGGACAGGCTCGACTTACAGGTAGCCCAAAGCAACAGGAGCCGGTGTACTCGCAGGCTGTGCGGATCAGTGCATGCTGCATGACGCTGCCGAAGGGGAAGCAGCGCCTGGGACCATCCAGGGGCAAGCCGTCCTCAGATGGGCGGCGGGCAAGCTGTCGTCCCTGGTGGATACCAGGACATCCGGCGCCTCGAACATTGATAGAGTTGGCGGGTCTGCTGCCACTTCTGGGCCCCCCAGGAGCTGGACTCTTTGAGTCTTGGGACCGTCAGAGCTCGACTCGGCAGTGCAAGGACGGCCCTGAGGAATGGGTCGAGGGGTCCTGGGGGCATCCGAGAGCGGGGTAAGGACTAGAGTTAAGTCGGGCTTGTCCCCCTGGAGGAGAAATATTCAAACATAGTTTTTAAATCGTCCGTTGACGATGTTTTACTTTTCTTGACAATATGTGATTGATTGTACATGTTTACTTTGTCGTCCAAAATCCGCATGTACGAGGACATGCCCGACCTGACACTAGAGGTGTGCGTGCGGTACCACATGTCATGGCCCCCTGTTCTTCCAGCGCGTTCCCTGCTAGCCCCCATTCCCCTTCTGCGCAAACGACTCGGGCCAGGATGCGGTAACATCCCTCTTCTTGGCCCCCTTCTTCGGCACGCCTGGGAGGTCCTGGGGCCCGCGAGGCAGGTAGATAGGTAGATGGTAGTCAGGCGGGGGAAAAACACACAGACAAAATGAATCGTCGATTCCCTGGAAAATATATGGAAATATGGGAAGCGGTAGGGAACACAAAGAACAGAAACTATGAGAAAATATTGTGAAAAGTTGTATTTATGTCTGCTTATTTGTCTGTCCCAGGGCCCCTTCAGGTAGGAAAGAGAGAGGGAGGATGAGAGAACCTGACGACTCCCAAACCACGACCTCAATGGCTGATGACGGACATTGCCAACTCCCCCACTTGACGGGAAGGGGACTCCACAGTGATCTAGTGGGTCAGACAAAGAGGAATTGGGAAGGGATGAAGGGAGTGAGGATGGAGATGCCCGACGAGGACGAACGCGGCCTCGACGATGTGGAGGACGACGCGCAAGGAGAGGCCAGTGAAGAGGAATAGTAAGCACCCCGCCATTGCGGATGAGAGTGAGTCGGGCCGGACGGAAGGGGGGGATTGGGAAAGGGGGGGGTGCGAAATCTGCTGCATGCACCGTCTCGGGCACCGGGAGGCGCCGGGAAAATCAGCTACATGAGCTGATTCTCAGCCCCCCCTTTCTATCCCCCCCTTTGGCTCGGCCCGAGTGAAGGGGGCCAGGAGGGAGAGGATGGGGGGGGGGAAGCTGAGCGGGGAGGGAGGAGCGGAACTACCACCAGGCGTTTCTTCGGGCAGTCTGCCTCCCCAGTGCGCCCTTCCAGGGTGCCCTCCCGGCGCGCCCTCCCAGCGCGCCCTTCCGGCGCGCCCTCCCAGCGCGCCCTCCCAGCATGCCCTCCCAGCGTGCCCTCCCAGCGTGCCCTCCCAGCGTGCCCTCCCAGCGTGCCCCCCCAGCGTGCTCTCACAGCGAGCCCTTCGGCGTCGCCGTCCCTACTCCACCCATGCGCGCGCAGGGACCATGTAAGACACGTTGGCCCCCTCCCTCTGATAAGAATAAGAGGAGAACGAAAAGGAGGAGAACGACGACGAGAACGATGACTCTCACGAGGAAGCGGGGTCATAGGAGGAGGAGGAGGAGGAGGAGGAGGAGGAGGAGGAGGAGGAGGAGGGAAGCCAACCACAGGACTGGACGGCCAAGAAGGGGCTCGCGTCGCGGAAGGAGATCGTCAGGAGGGGAGAGGAGGAGGAGGAGGAGGAGGAGGGAGGAGGAGGAGGAGGAGGAGGAGGAGGAGGAGGAGGAGGACAATTAGCTGGGGACAGCGGGGCGCAGAGGACGAGGGGCAACGCAGGGAGACAGATGTGACTGAACGAGAGCGAGCGAGCAAGCGAGGGAGCGAGAGAGAGAGAGAGAGAGAAAGAGAGAGATAAGAGATAAGAGAGAGAGAGAGAAAGAGAGAGAGAGAGAAACAAAGAGAGAGAGGGGTAAAACACAAGAGAGAGAGAGAGACAATGAGAGAGGGAGCGAGAAAAAAGAGAGAGGGATAACAGGAGAGAGAGAGAGAGAGAGAGAGAGGGAGGGAGGGAGAGAGAAAGAGAGAGAGAGAGAGAGACAAGGAGAAAAGAGAGGGAGGAGGCTGGGAGCTGGCGGGAGGCCCGGGCGTCCTGGCGTGCACGCGGAGCGGTGGCCCAGGCCCCGCGGGAGGGAGGCCGCGTGCCGACGGCGCAGTGCCCCGAGGGGCGCCCGCACTGGGCCCGCGCGCTGCGGCCTCCCCCCCGCGGTGCGCTCGTGCCTCGGGCCGGGGGCGGCCCCTGCGCCTGGTGCGCGGCTCACGCCACGGGGCCCAGCGCTGACGTTTCAGTCGGGCGTGCCCCTCCACAGGAGGCAGCTTCATGCATAGGCGAAGAGGCAAAAATAGCGGGGGGGCGATTTCTCCACGAGTTTTGAGGATGTTTGGGATACGTTTCCCAACCGTCCTGTGGTGTTGGGTCCTCGTTCTGAAGAGACGGTCCCCGCATCGCCTCCTCCCGCTGCCCCCCCTCCCAGTGGGGGTGGCCCCCTGCGTCCGCCACACCCAGTACGGCGCTTCGTGGCCCCATAGGGAGCTCCACCGAAGGCCCCAGTGGGGGTGGCCACCTGCGCCCGCCACACCCAGTTCAGCGCTTCGTGGCCCCATCGGGAGCTCCACCGAAGGCCCCAGTGGGGGTGGCCCAGTACAGCGTTGCGTGCCCCCATAGGGAGCTCCACCGAAGGTCCCAGTGGGGGTGGCCACATGCGTCCGCCACACCCAATACAGCGTTTCGTGGCCCCATAGGGAACTTCACCCAAGGCCCCAGTGGGGGTGGCCACATGCGTCCGCCACACCCAGCACAGCGCTTCGTGGCCCCATAGGGAGCCCCACCCAGGGCCCCAGTGGGGGTGGCCACATGCGTCCGCTCCCAGTACATCGTTTCGTGGCCCCATAGGGAGCCCCACCCAGGGCCCCAGTGGGGGGGGCCACATGCGTCCGCTCCCAGTACATCGTTTCGTGGCCCCATAGGGAGCCCCACCCAGGGCCCCAGTGGGGGTGGCCACATGCGTCCGCCACACCCGGTACAGCGCTTCGTGGCCCCATAGGGAGCCCCACCCAGGGAGGGCTTCCAGTGGGGGGGGGCCACATGCGTCCGCCACACCCGGTACAGCGCTTCGTGGCCCCATAGGGAGCCCCACCCAGGGCCCCAGTGGGGGGGGCCACACGCGTCCGCCACACCCAGTACAGCTTTGCGTGGCCAGTCGGACCGTCCGCATGCGTCACGCACACCCAATTTGGCATCTTCACGCGCCCAGTACAACTCTTCGTGGCCCCATGGGAAGGAACTCCACCGAAGGCCCCAGTTGGACCGCCCGCACGCATGCCGCACAAGCAATTTTACATTTTCACCCACGCAATACATCGTTTCGTGGCCCTATAGGGAGCTCCACCGAAACCTCTAGTGGGACCGTCCGCACGCGTCCCACACCCAATTTGGCAGTTTCAAACACCCAGTATAGCGCTTCGTGGCCCCATAGGAAGCCCCACTGAAGCCCCCAGTGGGACCGCCCGCATGCGTGCCGCACACCCAGTTTGGCATTTTCGCCCACCCAAAATACAGCGTTTCGTGGCCCCATTAGGAGCTCCACCGAAGCCCCCAGTGGGACCGCCCGCGTGCGTCCCACACACCCAATTTGGCAGTTTCACCCACCCAGTACAGCGCTTCGTGGCCCCATAGGGAGCTCCACCGAAGGCCCCACTGGTGTTGGTCACATTTGTTTTTTCGCCCAGTGCAGCGCTTCGAGGTCCCATAGGGAGCTTTACCGAAGAAAACATTCACAATTGCGGTACCCACAACTGCATAGGGTTGGGTCCTTCGCCAGGACAAATAATATTTCTTTCAGAATCTTCCTGTAGGCGGACATACCCGACCTAACGCTAACGGGGGTCAGCCAATCGATGGGGAACAAACCATGGCATAAACATAAACAATTCGGAGGCCCGTGCAGATTTCTCGGATCTGAGCCGGACCCCCCCATCGGCGCCTCCGGCGCCGCCCCTGGCGCGCTCCGCGCGGCAAGGAGGGGGGTCCAACGCCGATCCGAGAAATCCGCGCGGACCTCCGAGCTTTTATGTTGATGTCATTGATCATTGCTTGTTTCCCTAGAACCCCCTCTGGCTGACCCAAGCGTGGGGTCCACGTGGAGCCGACCCACCCGTTGGCCCAACTCTGGAAGCTGCTCGGCGGCTTGCAGGGCTTCGCGGCGGGGCGCTGGCCGACCCGAGCTTTGTTGGGCCGACCCGGGGGTCGTGCGCCCCCGAAAACCGTCGCCCCGAGGCCCGCGCTGCCGCCAGCGGAAGCTCGCGCCGTCGGCGCGCCCCCGCACGCCGCCGACGAGCAGGACGGCCGCGATGCTCTCTCTCTCTCTCTCTTTCTCTTTCTCTCTCTCTCTCTCTCTCTCTTTCTCTCTTTTTTTGCTTTGTTTTGTCTCTCTCTCTCTCTCTTTTGTTTTGTTTCGTTCTCTCTCTCTCTCTCTCTCGATCACGGGTGGGGTTTCGGCCGCGTTGGGCCCATCGGTTGCGGCACGTGCGCAGCACGAGTGGATAGGCCAGGGCATGACAGCACACTTCGAGCGGGTAAGGCTGAGCCTTTCAGACCTTGCACCGCCCAGCAGCACAGGGCCAACGGGGTGGGGGGGAACGAGGAGCGGCGTGCACGGGAGGATTGGCAGCGTGTAGAGGGAATGAGGAGGGGAGGTCTCGACTAGCCTGGCTGCCTGGTACAGTCAATTACCCCAGTGCGACCCTACCTAGAAGTTGGAGCCCCTAGGAAAGCAGCATTAGTTGCTATGCCATGCCATGCCATGCCATGCCATGCTATGCTGCGCTATGCTATGCTATGCTATGCTATGATATGCTGCTCGTTGCTATGCTATGCTGTGCTAAACTAAGCTATGCTAGGCTATGTCATGCTGCGCTGTGCTATATTATGCTATGATATGCTATGAGATGCTAAGCTGCGCTATGCTATGCTTTGCTATGTTATGCTATACTGCGCTGTGCTATGCTGTGCTGTGCCGTGCTGCGCTATGCCATGCTATGCTATGCTATGCTGCGCTATGCTATGCTATGCTGGGCTATGCTATCATATGCTGTGCTGCGCTATGCTACGCTATGCTATGCCGTGCTCTGCTATGCTAAAGCTCAGCGAAGCTAAGAAGAAGGTAAGCTAAGTTAAGATAAACCTGCGCTAAGATGAAGCTAAGCTAAGTTAAGATGAAATACGCTAAGCTAAGATGATATAAGCAACGCTAAGCTAAGGGGACGTAACTGGGGGAACCGCGGGGCGGATGCCGGGGGAACCGCCCGTGGCGCATTACATTGCCCGGCCCTTTAAGCCCACAGAGTAAGAACCCTTCTAGGCAGAGCCTAGGTAGGGAAAAACGCTGAAACAAGGAGTAGTTTGGGTTCGGAAGGGGCTCGATGTTCCTTAGGTTCCTCCAGTGCTGTTCCTCTTGCCCTCCTGGGGCACGGATGCGCATACAGGGCCAAGAAGGGGCTTCGTTCCTTATTTAGCGTTCCTTCTGTCAGCGGCCCGACTGTACTTGCGATGCCCTCAACTCAGAGGCCGGTGACCTGGGTCATCGTGTGAGTCATTGGCGTCGTTTCGCGGACCGCCCACTTGACCTTTAACGCGCCTGCAAGGGCCAGCAGGAATCCGAGGGACAGGGAAATCAGAGGTGCGAATCTCATGTTGACAAGGAACCGCCTTCCATCCGTGTAGTTGCTTTTCCCCACCCGACAGATAAGGGTCGTTAGATTTTGAGAATAGACCTTCCGACCCGGCCACCCTGCTTACCGCGGCCGCCCGAGGTCCACCGAGAATCCCCCGAGACCCTTGCCTCCCCCCCCCGACGAACACGACAGGACCTCACAGAACTGAGCATCACACCAACGATCATAACATGACCGAGCATAGTTTATCACATACCATAACATGAAGGCGCATACCATAACACAGGTTAATCTAGCATATCATTTTTTCATATAATGACAACTCACACGATGTCAGGGAGCGGCAAACCATTTTATAAACTGGCAGAGCACGTCAGAACATACTATCATGACATGTCACAGCGTAACATACTTCACGACAGCATACCAACGCATACAGAACAGATAATAACACCACACACCATAGCATGAAAGAACACATCATAACATAACATTTGCCAGGCCAGTTGCCGGCACCACGCCCCCGGCAATCGTGGCTTCGCCCTTACCCTTCGCGCCTTCCCCTCGGCAACCGGGCTGCAGTCATGCAAGCATGCTATACATGGGATGAAGCATGATCCTCTGCAGTGCGTCCGAATCCTCCTGGCGCGCGTGAATCCTCACCCGAGGCTGGGTGAGGATTCAGTTTCGCTCTGCGCACTGTATCATAGCAACGCATACCATGACAGAATGGAGCATTGTAGAGTACAGCGTAACAGGGCATACCATGATATACCAGATGTGTCTTACCACTGCTACCAGGCTGGCTACGAATGTACTGTACGATCGTAGGCTGCAACAGATCGAAGCGGAGTATCCTGACAGACAGAACATAGCAAACAGAGTACAGTGTGGCCAGCATAGCAAAACATAATTGTTCGACTGTTGCCACCACTACGGCAATACGTTTGAGATCTCATATTACACTGATATTATATCGGGGGTATGCCGCGACAGAGAAACAGGAGGTAGCATAACGACCGGAGCATCGCGTGGACAGCATCACGGAACAGAGCATGATGATTTCCCACCCGGGAGGTAGGCGTCGTTAGAGTTTTCAGAACCGATTATCCGACCAACCCACCTTGCACACCGCGGCCGCCGGATCCTCAGATCCACCGAGACTCCCAGGAGACCCCCGCCCCTCCAGACCCGACCCGCCCCCTCTGCAGGCTGCGGCCGCCAGATCCCGAGGTCCACCGAGAGTCCCGAGACCACCTTGGCATCGCTCGGACGTGTGTATTTTTCTTTCGGCGAGGGCCATCGAGGAGCATCCTGGATCATTGGTGAAAAAACACGCACGAAACCGAAAAAAACACAGGGAATGGACGTCCGAGCGATGGCCAGCCGCCGCCCCTCCAGACCTGACTCGCCCACTCTGCATACCCCGGCCGCCAAACCCCCAGGTCCACCGAGAATCCCCGAGACTCCCGCCCCTGTGAGCATGGCAGAGCACAGCTAGCAGCAGAGAACAGAAATGGCAGGGGAGCCGGGTGTGCGCGGCGCCTGATCATCTCTCGCAGTGCCCACCCCTTCTTGTTCCTCCTCCTCTCCTCCTTCCCCTCCTCCTTCTCTTTCTTTTCTTACTTCCAGTATCTCGCTGCGGCTTCGGTGCTTCGGTGCCGTCGAGAAGAATGCAGGGAGGAAAAGGAGGAGGAGGAGGCCTCTCGACCTCCCCGCCGCGGGCGCCCAGGACGACGGCGCCGAGGAGGCGACCGGCGCTGGCGCGCCCTCGCCGACGATCCCGGAGCACGACGAGTATTGGGAGGAGGCGCGGGGGCCTCGCGGAGGAGGAAGAGGAGGAGGCAAGGGAGGAGGAAGAGGCGGAGGAGGAGCCTCCTCCCTCTCCTCTCTGCTGCTGTTCCTCCTCGTCCTCCTCCCTCCTCTTCCTCTTCCGCCATTTTGGCTCAAGATGCTTTACTGGCCATGCCAAGAAGTGGGCACCGCTAGTCCGCGGCAGGCAAGGCAGCTCTGCCTGGCAGAGTCTCATCGGCCTTCACTGCGGGAGTCGGGCCCCCACCTCAGCTGCTCCCGCCGCAAGGTGCTAGAGTGGCATGCCTGAACGTGACAGCGAGAAGAAGTTGAACAAGAAGGGGAACATGATAAGAAGTCGGGCAAAAGTGGTGGCACCCTGAGCAGGCCTCGCCATCCGTCTGACAGTCCTGGTCATATGTCAGCTATGTCACTTGCTACTACTCCCCCTGCTACGCCTGGACGCTCGAGGCGATAGCGGGCTCATCAGGAGGTCCCCGCGCCCAGCCAGCGGTCGCGGAGCAGTTATGTTGGTGACGAACGTCATTCGCCACGCGACGGTCATGAGGATGCGAGGGCCCAAGCGGCGGCAGCTACCCTGCGGTTTGTTGAGATCCTGGCCCAGATGGAAGAGATGTCCATTTTCCCGTCCTGGGAGATGCCTGGGGTGGGGTCTTCGACGGCAGCTGTTGCGACTGCGGGCCCGCTGGCGTGGCCTGCCCCGCCGCCGTATCACCATCTGGCTGGACGCTGGCGTGGAGCGGCGGGAGGTGGGGATCAAGGTGCGGGAGCAGGGCATGACTCGGGAGCGGAAGTCGGCGCTATCCCAGGGACCCCTGTTGCGACGTCGATGGGCTCGCCCGTGGGAGCAGGTGCAGCGCTCGACCCGTGGGCGCAGGCAAACGATCTTTCGATCGCTGAGCAGGTCAAGCTGGAGATCGCCTCCGCCATCAAGATGATTGCGCATGAGGAGCTCGGAGCAACTGTCGATCAGAAAATGCCTGGTACTGTGGCTGCAGCCATGCAGCCGCTGTTTCACACCATCGAGGAACATGTTCAGGGCCAGCTTGCAGCTCACGCACATCGGCCGTGGTCGGTCGAGAATGAGATTGCAGCAGCTCGCAGAGTGCAGGGCGAATTTGAGGCGAGGTTTCGTCACTTGGAGCAGGAGCTTGACTTATCGCGGATAAGGGTCCACGTGTCGATCGCTCGTACTGGAGAGTGGGAGCGCCGCGTGGATCGTGCCATCCTCCTCGGTGCGTACGAGAGCTGAGGTGGCGCATGAGGAGGTCGCGGAGCGCCCTGCGCCGTGGCTGCAATATGCATCGTTCACCATCGGGGACGAGGTCAAGCTGGAGGGCGAACAGCTGGGGCGCTCGTTCGCTCTCAAATTCCAGGGCGCAGGGGCTGAGCGACGAGCTGGGGCGGCGATGGCGGCGATCCGTGCGAACGCAGGGCAGTGGCGCTCGTTCAAAACTACCGATCCCAGTGGTCGCCCCGTTGCGCTGTCGGTATCGGTTGACAAGAACAGTCGGGATATTGCGCGGGAGATTGCGCGCAAGAAGGTCAGGAACGCGCCCGGTGCAAAGTTTGGTCGCCCAGTGTATGTCGATCGAGAGCAAGGTGTCTTGTCGATGTCGTGGGGGCAGATGCTCAAAGTCGAAGTTCATCCCGCGGGGGAACCCACGTTCAAGTGGAACATTGACGCGCTGGCCCACTCGCAGTTGAAGAGGCGCGAGCTGGAGGAGCTGGCGATTGTTGCATTGGGCGCCCCGGAGATTCGGTGGAGCGGGTAGCGGAGTCTTCGAGGGCGCGGGCTCTTTGTCCTTCGCAACCTGGAACGGCCGCGCCCTCGCCCAATACATGTCCAAGATCATGGGCGCCAAGCTATCTGAGGTGAAGATGCACTGCAGGAGTCCCGCTGCTCGAGGCTTGACGCGAGGGCGATCATGCGGCGTTGGGCTAGCTCCCACTACTTCTTCGGCTCTTCCCCCCCTGCGCCACGCAATGGAGGGGTTCTCGCGATTGCCCCTAAGAGCTCCCGCATCGCGGACGTGTGCTCCGAAGTTATTTGTTGGAGGGCGCATGTTTCCCATTGCGATTCGAACCGCTGATCATGTCTTGTTCCACTCGAACGCGCGTAACCATGATGTCTCGGCAGAAGAAATGAAGATGGTTGGCGGTCGAATTCACCTGCTGTTGTCTCGAGCCCACGCTGACCCACTTCATTGCTCAGTATGTGTGCCCCGTGATTTCAGCGTCTCTGGCGGCGACGTAGAGGGTCCTGCCCCGGGCGCTCCTGCGCTAGATTCGTCGAGGAGGTTCGAGGTTGGTTCCTCGCAGGCGCGGAGACTGCACGAGGCTTCATGGCGAAAGATTTTGGGGCGCATGGTGGGGCATGATGCTGCTCGCCCAGCGCTCCGGCATCGCCCGAATCAGGCTTCGCCCCGCGCCGACCGCATCATTGCGTCTACACCGACTTAGATTGCAATTCGTTTCTGGCAGTCGGTCTCGCTGGCCGCTGACCCTGATGAGCTTGATCGTCGAGAGGTCAGTGACCATTCTCTTCTGTCGGCATCTTGGGCGCATCGCTCAGGAGGAGAGCATGGGAGTGCCAAGACAATTACTGGCTTCATCACGTGCGACCCTGTCTACAGCAAGATGGTCGGCGCCTATGAGAAGGCGGCCAAGATGGACGAGTGCGACTGGCCAACGGACACCCTGATTCGGATTGCCGTTCGTGTTCGGCGAGCAGCTGGTCTGGCGGCGCGCGGCCCTCTTTCTGGCTCGAGCACGGCATGGGCCCCGAGGGCGGGCCATGGCGTGGAGGTCGGCGTCGAGCGCTGCGGTGCGCCAGGACCTTCAGATGGCTCGTGCTCTGCTTCTGCGGCACCGTTGGCTTCGCGATCATCTGGAAGTCGACGCTGGGCGCGCTTCTCTTCGCCATCCCGATGCTTTCGCCGTAGCTTTCAATCAGGCCCAGATGGCTTCGGCGAAGGCCGAGGCCGCCCACGCCCAAGCGCAGCTAGACTCTCAGAACGCTAAGGAGGTCTCTCCTCTGCCTCCTCCGCCAAGCGTCTCCTCTCTCTGCGTCGTGGGGCTCGTCTGCGGGGCCCCTTGTGGCGACGGCGCGTCCTGGGCGCGGTCTTGGGCCCTCTCGGGGCCTCGTCTTCCCCAGGGGGCAAAGCTTGTGACCTTGCTGTGTTTTGGGCGCCTGTCTTTCAAGTCTTTTCGCCTCTCGCAACAGGGGCCTCGCCACTAGGTTCTCTCTTCCAGAGTTGATTTTACAGACGTGCACCCGCCATGTGCTGGACTGGCGCGGGAAATCCTGCGCCGCGTTTCTGACTCGACCCCTGGGCCTGACGGTCTGCAGCGCTTGGGCGGTTGGTCGGCGCCCCATCAGTGGTCATGGAAGCCTTCTGGGGGCTCTTGGCTAGGCTGCGTCCACCTCTATCGATTTTCGAGTCCCTCGCGGCCTCTCTGGCCCAATGGGGCGAGCCGGGGGGCGCGGGGGCGGCGGTGCTCTCTCGCTCAGTTGACGAAGCGCGACGTCTGGCATTGAAGAATATCCTGGGTAAGTGCGTCTCGGCTGCAATCGACTGGCCGCCGGCGTCGATCGCGCAGGAAGCGAGCCCGCGGATGCAACGTGGATGTACAAAGGGGCGGTCTTTTTTAAAGAACATTGTTGAGTTCGACGTGCGCCCTCGGATTGACGCTATCATGAAGGATCCCCCTCGGCGAGGTACTGCCCCTGAAGAATGGTTCCCACTTCTTATCTCTTTTGACTTTGCCCAGGCCTTCCCTGGCGTTTCCCGGGCCTGACTCCTCCCCCTGCGGTCCCTTGCTCTCCCTCTTGGCCTGGTCCAGGCTATTCAGTTACTGTATCACCTCAACCTTTGTCTCTTCCGCGCGGGGGTGTAAATTTTCCTTTATAGTTCGTTCTCGCTGGCGTCTTACAGGCATGTCCCTTGAGCGGGTCGTTGTTCGCCATCCCTGCCAATGCGTTCGTGTTTGGCATGGGGCGTACAACGGAGGGGACTGAGCATGCTTTCTCACGAGCATGCGTTGACGATGTCGGCGCGGTCTCGTTCGCGGCAACAGGCGTCCGAAGGCTTGGTCGCATCTTCTTCCTTGCCTCGCGGTTCGCCTCTCTCGCCCCCACGATTCCCAAATGCATGGTGGTCCCGCTCTTTGGCCCGCTCAATGACAGTGTTGAGAATAGAGCTCGGGCCTTCATTGAGAATGCCGTTCCAGCGTGGTCTGGCTTTGCCGTTGTCTCCCAGTGGCTGGGCGGGGCCATCTACTGAGGTGGGCGTGGGGTCGCACTTGGCCGCCTGCCGCTGCCGCCGCAGGGTCCGAGGCGGGGACTGACCCATCACCAGAAGCCTGGGGGATCGCTCCTCGCGGACCTCCACGGGCGGCACATTTGGATGTGATTCGGGCCTCCGGGGGCCAACATGTATCCAGATCCCCTGCACGTTGGGGCACCAGGACGTTGGTTTCCAGGCGGTGGATGTGGATAAACCCCGGCCCCGCACAGGAGGGAGGTGAGGGCTGAGGTGGCTGGGCGGGGCCGTCTACTGAGATGGGCGTCGGATCGCAATTGGTCGCCGATTGGCGCAAAATCGCGCTCGTGATCATCATCATCACCACCATCATCAGCATCATCATCAGCATCATCGTCAGCATCGTCCGCATCACCATCATCATCATCAGCATCATCATCACCATCAGCCTTTTCATCATCATTGTCACCATTATTATCCACATCGCCGCCGTCGATGTCATCAGCATAATCAGAATACTCATCATCGTCACAATCATCCTCATCACCACCATCATCATCATCATCATCATCATCATCATCATCATCAGCACCATCGCTTTCATCATCTCACTTATTATTCATGCTTCGTGTATCCCCACGAGCCCATTCAGAAGCCCTGCCCACGAGTGCTGACGGGAGAAGGGACGAAGGGACACATCTAGGGAAACAAAGCGAGCAACTAGGATGCACCGAAGGATCTCTGGGAGCAAGGGGGTGGTCCTGGAAGGCCTCATTCGGGCCATCCCTGGGGGCCGCGTGGGGGCGGGGGGAAAGAGGAGGAGGAAGAGGAGGAGGAGCGCGTCCTCTCTATGTCTTCCTCATGATCCCTCAGACCACCTGTCGCCCAAAGGGATGGTGGGATTTCTCAGCCATCAGCTGGTGCTGCTGCTGCTGGTGGTGCTGCTGATGTTGTTGCTGCCTCTGCTGGTGCTGCGACTGGTGCCCTGGACGGCCTGTTGGGGCCATCTAGGAGAGCATCGATCAAAAGATGGGGGGTCCTCAATTTCGGCCCCCCTCGGCCCTCAACATCGCCTCTTGGAGCTCCCTGGGGCTCTTTTGGAGGGTATTGGAGCTCTCTTGGGGCTCTTTTAGGGGTCTTGGAGCCCTCTTGGGGCCCTCTTGGGAGCCCTGGAAGGCCTCTTGGGGTCATCTTGAAGGCCATCGATCAAAGGAGAAGATGGTATAACGTTCAGCCCCCCCCCCCCCCCCCAACGAGGCCACAATGGGGCCACAACCTCAGTAACACCAATGATTTTGGCTTCCTCGCCGAGGCCGTTTTGGACGTCTCGACACTTCACGAATCTCCCCCAAAGAAGTCCAGGGGAGGGGGTAGGGGGAGGGGTAAACCCCTCCCCGTATGGGAAGAGGGGTTTTTGGAGGAGGGAAGAGGAATCTCGTCAGACCACCTGTGCCCAGAGGGCTGGTGGGATTATTAGCAGAATCACCAGCGTCATCGAAATCATCACCATCATCATCATCATCATCATCATCATCATCATCATCATCATCATCAGCAGCAGCAGCAGCAGCAGCATTACCACCGCCATCATCAGTATCCTCCGTTCCTACTCCCCAATCCCCCCCTCTCCCCCTGCCACATTCCCCTCCCCCCTCCCTTACCTTCCAACGTAGGCCGTGAATATCTCCATCGAATTGCTCCAGGGCTCCTGCCCAAAGTTCTCAGTAAAGTTCGGCGCTCTCAGAGGAAGCGAACCCCAAGTAGAGGTGCCAAATGTTCGGACTCGTATCGCACCGCGATCTGGCAGAGTCTCAGAGTCCCCGTTATAGATTCGACGCATAAGCAGATCGCGGGAAACCACGACCAGAGCCCCGACGCCATTTTTCGAGCTGGATCGATCTCTGAGGGTCCCCTGGCCCGAAACCGGGCGAACACTGCAACGCGCGGAATCTAAGGGACTCTTCCATCTCGCCGAGGAGATCCGACGACGACGACGACGACGACGACGACGACGACGACGACGACGACGTCGACGGGACGGCGGCGACGACTGCGGCGGCGGCGGCGACGCGGCCGAGGCCGCGCCCAAGCCGCAGCCCGCCCACGCCTCGGGCGGGAGACAGCCCCCGCGCTCCCCGCCGGTGGCCCGCGCCCGCCTCCCCCGCGCAGCGGAAGGGGCACGTGGATCAAGCAGCGGCGGCTGCAGGCCCACCAAGGAGTATATTCTTCGAACGTACGCTTCGAACCACAAGCTGCTTTGCACGAAATGTCTCAGAGGACCTCTCTGGGTGAGGCAGTCTTGTCTGAATGCGTCTGCCTCACGTTCAGAGAGCAGCGTTGATTCTGTGATCAGAACCTATTTCAGATCTAAGAGCGCGTTGTGGTAAATAGGCCTGCAGGGATGGCGGAACGGTTGGCCCATGCTCCAGTTGTTGTTTGGGGGGTGCTCACCACAAGGGGGATGCACCACTTCCTCGTGGGGAGCGAGAATCGAGGGTCTTGACTGGTTTCGGACGTCCCTTGGAGCCCTGGCGGGCCCTGGGGGTCCAGGTGGGGTTCGTTTCCTCGAGGACTTGGCGGCGACCCGCCTCGTGGTGAGCCCCCTTGGCGCTATCTGAGACACCTAAGGTGGTCCTCTTCCTCCTCCTCCTCCTCCTCTTCCTCCTCCTCCTCATTTTTTCCCTCCTCCTCCTCCTCCTCCTCCTTTCCCTCCTCTGAGAGCCTCCTCTTCCTCCTACTCCTCCTCCTCCTCCTCCTCCTCCTCCTCATCATCATCATCATCATCATCATCATCCTTTCCCTCCTCCTCCTCCTCCTCCTCCTCCTCGTCCTCCTCCTCCTCCTCCTCCTCCTCTTGGCTGCGAGTGCGAGTGGCGATCCGCCGGTGTGGCCGTTCGCGCGGGTCCATGCAGGGGCCGCCCCCCCCCCCCCCCGGGACGCCGGGCACCATGGGGGCACTCTTGCCAGCAGGGTCACACCTGCATGCGGCCGAAGGAGGTGGAGGAGGTTGTGGAGGAGGAGGAGGAGGTTGTGGAGGAGGAGGAGGAGGAGGAGGAGGAGGAGGAGGAGGAGGAGGAGGGAGGAGGGAGGAGTGAGGAGGGAGGAGGGAGGAGGGAGGAGGGAGGAGGGAGGAGGGAGGAGGAGGAGGAGGAGGAGGAGGAGGAGGAGGAGGAGGAGGAGGAGGAGGAGGAGTACTGCCGCCGTCCGGCAGTGCGGCCCATGCGCGCCCAGGACGATTACAGCTTTGGGCGTTCAGCAGCGAGGCGTCTGGCCAGGCGGCGTGGCCGCGAAGCCGGAGACAACTTGGTCGCCAAGCTCCTGACCAAGCTGGCGCAGGCTCAGGGCCCGCTGGACTCCATCGACAGCGACGACGCGATCCAGACCGAGGTCGCGCGCCGAGAGTTCCTGGCGAGGCCTGCGCTGCGGGCCAGAGTTGCAGGCTGCGAAGAGACGGGCGCAAAGCGGTTAATCCGCAATGTAGCGCTCCACTCAAGAAAGTGCCCAGAGGCAGGAGCACCGCATGCTGAGTGGCGACGCGCCCAGCACGGCCCCAGGCTAGGCGCAGACGGCGCTGCCGACGCCGTGGGCGTTCCCTGGGCTTACGTGGCTGAGCCTGCTGACCAGCGCCCCGTTGTGGCTGCTTTTCGCGAGGGCCTTGCAGCGAGGTGGCGCCTGGCCGAAATTACATGCGCAGCACGACCTGAAGCAGTACGACAGAGGCCATCAAATCCGGACGGGCATCGCGACTTCGACATCTTCGGGGGCTTCGACGGCAAGCACAATTTCGAGCAGGACGACAACCTCTCCATCGGCCTTGCTTTCAAGCCCCCCGAGGACCCGTGGCCTGTTCTGGAGTCTTATATTTTCGGCGACGAGTTCGCTACTGAGACCTGGCAGGCCGGCGCAGAAAAGAAATATGACCAGCTACCAGATTGCAGTGGTGCTTCAATCAAGAGGACGTCATCATACACAATCTTGCAGTGGCGCGTCCATCAAGAGAACGGCAGTGGCAGGGACGGCGGCACTACTCGGCCCACCGTCGCCTACCCCACGGAGGCCTTGCTGCACACGGCAGCGGCGGACGCCGCGCGTGAAGCCAGGCAGGCGGGTCCGCTGGCAGGCGTGCCCCTCAGGAGCGGCGCGGGCGGGCCCGAGTTCGGTCAGATGTGCGTGCTTGCGTGTGTTTGTGTGTGTGTGGTGTGTGTGTGTGTGCGTGTGTGTCTGTGTGTGTATGTGAAAGGTAATCCTTTTCCCCATTGTTCCACAATGTTCGGTTTCGAGCAACATCCAACCACGTGGTACCATCCCCAGTGGTAGACCGTACGAGTTGTGAGATGTCGTCGCTACACCTCTTTCGCTGCCCTCCGTGTCTGCGCATCGCTGGCCTGGTGTCATGGGCAGAGGGCTCCCACGATGCAGCCAATCTGGTCCGTCTGTGTTGGGATTGAGCCGCGATTCGCCCTGGCCATCGCCATCTGCGCTTGTGGTGCAGGGTCGTCGGTCGTCTACTGTGAAGCGTGTCGCTAGATCTGCAGCTGCGCAGGCAGCTCTGCGAATCAGGCATTCCCACGGTTCTGGCGTCGCGGTGAGTTAGTGTTCTGGTGTCGTTGGTGCTCGTGCTGTCGCTTGTGCTCGTGATGTCGTCGCGCTGGTCAAGGTCGGGGTTGGCGTCGCTACCGGTGTCGATTATGCGTGCTGTTGGCGTTCTTCGTCTGGGTGTGTTCACGATGAGTCGCAGCATGCGTCGTTGGGTGCGTCGCAGTGTAAGGAGCACGTCCTTGGTGAAGATCCACGAGGTGCAGCCGTACAGCACGAGTTGCGCCACCGTGCCATTGAATAGCCTGAGTCTGCTGTGCAAGGGGTACCGTTTGCTTGTCAGCTCGTCGCGGAGTTGGTGGAACTTCCGCCATCCCACGGCTATTCTGTCGGAGAGGTCAGTGCAGCGGTAGTCGTGTAGGGTAGGAAGGAGGAGCAGGGGAGGTGGAGGAGGCGGAAGAGGAGCCCCGTCCCTCGTCGCCATCCCCACCCATCCTCCACGTCCGCCCCCTGCTCGGCCTCCCCGTCTCCGTCCTCCAAGAGGGCGAGGGCAAGTAGGGTGAAGGCGAGGAGGCCGAGCAGGTGGAGGAGGACAGGGAGGACGGAGGGCAGCGCCGACCTTCGACCCGGCGCGGGAGGAGGACGAGGGAGGAGGGGGAGGGGCGAGGAGGAGGGAGGGGGGCGAGGGCGAGGAGGAGGGCAAGGGCAAGGGCCAGGGCGAGGGCAAGGAGGACGAGCAGGATGACGCGGGCGAGGAGGGCGCGGCGGAGGGCGAGGAGGGCCAGGCGGAGACGAGGGCCGCGGCCAGGTGGGCGCGGCGCGGGCCGGCGACCTCGGCGCCCCGCCTCCGGCCGCGCGGCTGGAGAGGGCGTCGTCCGACAGGTCCCCCCCTCCCCCTCCTCTTCCCCCTTCTCCTTCTCCTTCTCCTCCTCCTCATCCTCCTCCTCCTCCTCCTCCTCCTCCTCTTCCCCCTTCTCCTCTTCCCCCTTCTCCTCCTCCTCCTCCTTCTCCTCCTCCTCCTCCTCCTCTCCTCCTCCTCCTCCTCCTTCTCCTCTCCTCCTCCTCCTCTCTGCTCCCTCCTCCTCCTTCTCCTCCTCCTCCTCCTCCTCCTCCCCCCTCCTCCTCCTCCTCCTCCTCCTCCTCCTCCTCCTCCCCCCCTCCTCCCCCTCCTCCCCCTCCCCCTCCTTCTCCTCCTTCTCCTCCTGCTTCTCCTCCTCCTCTTCCATTCCTTTCCCTTATGATTGACTTCTCCCTGTCGCACGTCGAAAGTTGACAACAGCTTCACAGATGGAGGGCGGCTCGTTTTCAAAATGTGGCTCTCTCCGTAGCGCCGCGCACACTCGTTTGCACAACAAACAAGAGCTTCACGGATTGAGGGCGGAGTGTTTTGAAAATGTGGTTCTCGCCTCAGTGCCGCGCACATTCGCTTCAAAGATTTGCAAGAGTTTCACGGATTGAGGGCGGGTGGTTTTCAAAATGTAGCTCTCGCCTTAGCGCCCGGCACATTCGTTTCAAATATTTACAAGAGCTTCACGTATAGAGGGTGGGTGGTTGTGAAAATGTGGCTCTCGCCTTAGCGCCACGCATCCTATGTTTTAAATCTTGCGAGGGTTTACAGGATTTCCATGATCAACGTACCATAACTAGTGTTTGGAATGATTCAGGGTTCTGACGGTGCAACCGTTACGTTGATTCGCGGTGGTGCAGTCCCAGCCAGAGTCCGCCTGCAAGAGGACACGCCCGACCTGACCCTCGACCCCCCGAGCCCCCCCCGAGCACGCCCGGCCGTCTCGAGCACACGGGGAACTCGGGGACAAGGGGGGCGCTGTTCCTCGGACTCCCGCAGCGCGGGCGCCTCGGCCTCCTCGGGCGGGGGGCCCAGAGCGGGAGCCGCCGGGGCCCGCAGAGGCCTGCCGGACTCCTGGGGCGGCTGCGGGCGGCGCGGGCCTCCCGGGAGGGCCCCTCCTGGGCCCCCGGGCGTCGGCGGTGAGATCCGAAGCCCCCTCGGGCAACCCAGAGGGCGGCGGGGGCAGGATTCGGCACTCGTCGAGCACGGGGCGAGGCCCGAAGCCCCACCCCCACCTCCCGTCGACACAGAGGAGGCCCGATGGCTGGTGGGGGGGGTTCGGGCGTCGGAAGGAGCGTCTCCTGCGGGCGCTTGGAGAGGGGGGGCGGGGTCGGATCTGTACCCCCTTCCCCCTCGGTGAGGGGAGGGGGGGGGATTCCCCCCCCCCCCCCCTTCGCCACCTACTCGATCCCTGAGCTCCCCGGAGACGTCAGGCCGTTTAGAATATGCTGTGACCTCGGGGGCAAGTGCCCAGGCCGCGATTCGAACGCGCCCCCCTGTCGAGAACAGGCGCCTCCCATCGCACATAGGATTCCTCGGAGGACATCGTGGGCTTGGCGTTAAGTCGGGCCTGTCCCTCTACAGGAGGAATCTTCAAAAGCAGTTTCAAAAAATAGTCTGGGGGCAATTTGTCGACTATTTCTTCCATTCCTGACCACTTTTGCCGGCGTAGAATTTGTCATCCAAAATGCCCCTGTGGGAGGACATGCCCAACCTCACATCATGGGCTTGGCGCGGAAAAACGGAAACGCCTCGTGTGCGATTCCTCGCCCCCGATCCCTGGGCTCCCCCGGAAATGCCAGGCCGTGCAAGGTCGGGAGCTCTGGCGTAGCGCGTCGCGCCGCCGGTTCTGGCCCGCCACGTCTCGGCGCGACGTGCCATTCGCCATTCCCTTCCCGGTCCCGAGGCGTCAACGTCCAGATTTTTTTCCTATCTTTCCGTCCCGCGAGGCGAGGCGACAGGGCATGCGTGTCGCCGGGGCCGCCGCCGCGACACGCTAAGCAAAAGTTCTTGGCCGTAGAATCTACGGGGCATTCGGGGACAGACCCCCAAGGCGCTATCCAAACGCCCCCTTAACGAAAGATGGCGCCCCCCATCGTGCATCCGAGACTTGGGGAAGAATTCTCTTGTCCAGTCAAAAGTACACAGAGGCGGTGATTAGAGTCCCCACCGGTACCTCCAATTTTAGCCCGCGCTGCAGAAATTCGGAGACTACTCCGGAGCCGCAACCTCCTCAGGGACCGATCCCACGCAGACATTCCCCTCAGACCTTTTCTTGCCCGTCAAACGGAGGCGTACCTCTCCTCGCGGCCAGCTTCGGGCTCTGAGGACAAGTGGCGCACTCCAGAGAGGCCCTCGCCTTCGAGGATCGAAAGGAGTTGGCATCTCCCCGTCGGGGTGCGACAGGGAGAAGTTGTTTATAAGGAAAAGGAATGGAAGAAGAGGAGGAGGAAGAGGAGGAGGAGGAGGAGGAGGAGGAGGAGGAGGAGGAGGAGGGGGGAGGGGGAAAGAGAGGGACGCTGGCGGGGGGACGACGGGAGGGAAAGGAGAGGCGGGGAGAAGGGAGTCGCGGAGCAGGACGAGGAGGAGGAGGGCAAGACGACGATGGAGGAGGGTGCGAGAGATGGACGGAGGGAGGATGCTCGAGGAACAGTGGGCTGGAGAGGGAGGCCACTAGGGGGGAGAGGAGGACCAGCGGCCAGCGGCTCCCTGGGGCCAGGTCCGACCCCGCCGACCTGGCGGGGCACCCCCTCGCGGGGGTGCCCAACATCGAGGACCTGGCGAAGCCGGAAGAGCTGCACCCGCAGCACGCGGACGAGACCAGGGAGGGGGGGGGGAGGAGGACCGATGGGCGGAGGAGGGGGAGGAGGAGGAGGAGGGAGGAGGAGGAGGAGGAGAGGAGGAGAGGAGGAGGAGGAGGAGGAGGAGGAGGAGGAGGAGGAGCAGGAGAAGGAGGAGGAGGAGGCCGAGGAGGGGGAGGCCGAGGAGGAGAGAGAGGAGGAGGAGGAGGAGGAGGAGGAGGAGGAGTAGGAGGAGGAGCAGGAGGAGGAGGAGGAGGGGGAGGAGGAAGAGAGACCGCATTGTTGTGGCTATTCTGAGGCCAGCGAGGCTGCCAGAAGTGCAGCAGAGTTCTCCTGTATTAGTTTCGGTGCTTCTACGCAGGTTGAGCCGAGGCGTCATGTTTTGAAGTACTGGGGCTTCTGGTAAGGGGTTGGGACGTCTCACGGACCGGCTGGCCGACAGTGAGCACTCCAGCAAGCACCTCCGTGGGAAAACGCCCAGCACTCTGCCGGTCTTTGTGCGCGAGCCCGTGCCCAACGACATCGTGAGTCGTGTGTTGGCCGCTCAGGCCAAGTTGGGCGCGGCATCCAAGGCGCATGCTCTTGCACGCATCCAGTTGCAAGATAGCCCTCTAGTTGTTGGCTGTACGCGCTGTGCTTGCTTTGCCGCCTCTCGCGTCTCCAACCTCGAGAACCCATGCCCTTCAGTCGTTGCCGACTGGGCGCAGAAGGTGCTCACGAGACTTGCGATCGGAGAATTCGGGCTCGATGGCAAGGTGTTTCGTGTGGCTCCTCAGGTCAGAAAGAGCGCGCTTTTGGCGCACTTCCGATTGGAAGGGGGGCCCCATCATCAAGCTCCCCCGCCTCCCTTGGGAAAGGGGGAGGGGGCTTCCGAAGCTACACCCCCTCTCCCCTTTTTGTGGACAAATTTCGGAGCCAGGGAGGCCCAGGCTAAAGGGGGGGGGCTTGGAAGCTACCCCCCCTCCTTTTCGGGGCCAGAGGTCAGCCTGGGCTTCCCTTTCTCAAGGGGGGGGGCTTCGGAAGCTATCCCTCCCCTCTTTTTCGCAGCTGAGGTTGCCGTGCCAGGGGGGGCTTCAAAGCTACCCCCCCCTCCTTCCGCTTCCGGAGCCCAAGGCCAGTCCGGGCTTACCTGGGGGGGGGGGGCTTCGAAAGCTACCCCCCCTTCATTCTCGCAGCTGAGATTGCCGTGCCAAGGGGGTGGGGGCTTCAAAGCTACCCACCCCCCTTCCCACCTTGTCCGGAGCCCAAGGTTAGCCCGGGTTTCCCTTTCAAAGGGGGGTGGCTTCGGAAGCTCCCCCCCCTCTTTTTCGTAGCTGATATTTGCTTGCCGAGGGGGAGGGCTTCAACTCTATCTGTTGTTTCCCAACCATCCTATGGTGTGGGTCGTCGTTTTGAAAGACCGTGCCCCGCGTCCTCCTCCTTCTCCTCGCCTCCTCTCCTCCTCCCCTTCTCCCTTCTCCCGTCGCCCCCTGACTTTGGCACACTCCTCATACGTTTGGTGGCCCCATCGGGAGCTCCACCCAAGGGCCCTGTGGCTGCGTTCACATGCTGTCCTCTGTCCACTTTGGCACACCCCTCACACGCTTCGTGGCCCCATAGGAAGCTCCACCGAATGCCCCAGTAGCTGCGTTCACATGCCGCCCCCTGTTCACTTTGGCTCACCCCTCACACGCTTCGTGGCCCCAGAGGGAGCTTCAACCGATGGCCCCAGTGGCTGTGTTCACATGCCGCCTCTCGTCCACTTGGCACACCCCTCACACGTATCATAGCCTCAAAGGAAGTTCCACCCAAAGCCTGAGTGGCTGCGTTCGCATGTCGCCTCCTGTCCACTTTGGCACACCCCTCACACATTCTGTGGCCCCATAGGGAGCTTCACCGAAGGCCCCAGTGCCACCGTCCACATGCCGCCCCCTGTTCATGTTGGCTCACCCCTCACATGTTTCGTGGCCCCATAGTTAGCTTTGCCGCAGGCTCCAGCTGCTGTGTTCGCATGCCCCCCCCTCCACTTTGGCACACCCCTCACACGTTCCGTGCCCCATAGGGAGCTCCACCGAAGGCCCCAGTGGCATGGATGGTTCGCATGCGCTTCCCTCACCCAGCACAACGTTTCGCGGTCCCATCAGGGGTCCACCGAAGGCCCTAGTGGCGGTGTCTGCATGCGTGTCCCCTATCCCAGTGCATTTTCTGTGGTTCCATAGGGAGATCCACCGAAGGCCCTAGTGGCGGTGTCAGCACGCGTTTCCCACACCCACTACAGCGGCTCGTGGCCCCACAGCGAGTTCCACCGAAAGCTCCAGTGGCTACGTCCGCATACGTTTCCCCCACCCAGCACAAGGCTTCGTGGCCCCATAAGGAGCTCCACCGAAGGTTTCCCCAGCCAGTACAGCGCTTCGTGGCCCAATAGGGAGCTCCACTGAGGGCCCCAGTGGCGGTGTCCGCATGCGTTTCTCCCACCCAGCACAACGTTTGGTGGGCCCACAGGGAGCCTCACCGAAGGCCCCACTGGCGGTGACGGCATGCGTTTCCCCCACCCAGTAAAACGATTCGTGGCCCCATGCGGGAGCTCCACCGAAGGCCCCAATGGCGGTGTTTGCATGCGTTTCCCGCGTCCAGCACAGCACTACGTGGCCAAAGAGGTAGCTACATCGAAGGCTCCACCGGCGGCGTTCGCATGCGTCTCGTCCACACAGTACAACGCTTCGTGGGCTCATGAGGAGCTCCACCGAAGGCCTCAGCGGCGGTGTTCGCATGCATCTCTCTCCCCCAGTACATCGCTTCGTGGCCCCATGTTGGGGCTCCATCGAAGGCCCCAGTGGCGGTGTTCGCAGGCCTCTCTCCGATTGAGTAGAGCGCTTCGTGGCCCCGTAGGGAGCTCCACCGAGGGCCCCAGTGGCGACGTTCGCATTGTGAGCGTCGCTTCCGATGAGCAGAAGAAAGGAGGGGAGGGGCTTCCAGCAGTGAAGGTCCAAAGGGGGGCGGGGTCGCTCAGCCCCCTTGGGAAATGGAGGAGGGGAGGGGAGCTTCCGGCCGACGGAGGGGCGGGGTAGCGTCCGATGAACCAAAAACAAAGGGGAGAGGCTTCCAGGGGAGGTCCCGAGGGGGGGGGTAGATACCCCCCCCCCTGTGGGACACGGAGGGGGGGCGGGGGGGGGGGCAGCTTGTGGACCGCCAAACGAAGGGAGGGAGAGGTAGCTTGCGAGAAGCGAAAACAGAGCGAGGGCTTCCGGCAGGGGAGGTTCAAGGGAAGAGGGGGGGTAGCCAAGCCCCCCCCCCCTTTGGAGAGAGAGGGGGGGGGAGCTTCCGGAGCGCGAACGGGAGGGGGGGGGTAGCTGCGAGAACAAAGTAGGGGGGCAGGCTTCTGGCAGGGGAGGGCCAAGGGGGAGGGCGTAGCGAAGGGGGCACCCCACCCCCAAGGGGGGGCGCGCCACGGGCGAGTTCTCTGGCAGGTCAAGATCAGGGTGGCTTAGACTCAGGAGGGGAGAAAACACACAGACACCATTCATCGGCGATTCCCAGGAAAATATCGGAAATTATAGGAAGTGGTGGGGAAGATGAAACACAGAACATATGTCAAAACATAGGGGATCCTAGGATTTGTGTGTATTTATTTGTGTGCCCCTGGGCCCCTTCATAGACTATGAGGCCTCTGAGTGTGGTGCTGGCGCCTGCGCTGGCTGCCCTCGCTGCGCTGCATCTGTCTGCTCTTTCAGCAGTTCTCTCTCCGTGGCACGCCTCTGTGACCTCGCCCGGCTCGCCACCTGGTTCACCGAGCGCGCTCCACCACTCGCAGAGTGCCTGCTCGCAAACGTCGGAACACACACACACACACACATGTCTGCTTTGATTAGGGGGAAAAAAAGTGACATAAACATAAAGACTCGGGGGTCCGCGCGGATTTCTCGGATCGGCGCTGGGCCCCCCGGCGGCGCCTCCGGCGCCGCCCCTGGCGCGCTCCGCGCGCCAGGGAGGGGGGTCCAGCGCCGATCCGAGCAATCCGCGCGGACCTCCGAGTCTTTATGTTTATGTCACTTTTCGTTCCCCTACTGATGCAATTCATCGTAGATCCCCCGCGGCGGATCTGGGCCATTTGCGAGTGTCTACTTGGCGAGCAGCGGAGAACGCGCTCATCTACCTGGCCTTCCCACGTGCCCCTCTCTCGGCACGCGGGCTCGTGCGGCCCGTGGTGCTCGACTACCCACGGAGGTTGTGCTGCCCAGCCTGCGGACCTGTCTGGCTGGCCGCGCGGGCCTCGGCCCCGCGTGCGGCGAGGACGGCGTGGTGCAGGCTGCGCCCCTCTTCGCCGAGCGCGTGCCCATGCTCGCAAAGTGCCTACTCGCAAACGTCCTTGGCCAAAAAGCACATGCGCTTCCTTCGGTGTCGCATCTATCGCAGCTTCCCCGCGGCGGATCCGGGCCATGTGCGAGCAGTTGCGTTGCGAGTCGTGGGGCGCGCTTGTCTGTCTCTGCTCCCTCGTCTTTCTGCTGGCGGCCCTCCCCGTCTGTGTCGGGGCGCTGCGAGCAGGTGCTGTCCCTCGGCATGCAGCTGTGAGTCGGGCAGGATCCTCTAACAGGAGGAAGATCCAAGAATCGTCAAACATGGTTTGGCGACGGTGGTTCGTGCTGTTTTGATCATGTTTGGGCTATGCTTGACCACTTGCCACTTCTCTTCCAGGACCCGCCTGTAGGAGGACATACCCGATCCAAATCCAGTTGTGTGGCGCCTGGCGCTCTCTCTCCTGGCGCGCCCTTTTCTGGCCCGGCCTCCCGGGCTGCTCGCGCTCGGTCAGGCCAGCTTTCGTTCTGAACCGACGATTCTGGCAGTCGGCGGGCGCATGTGCTGTCCGATGGCGTCCGATGGCGTTCGCGCGTGCGTGGCCAGGCGAGCCGTGCGCAGCACTGCTGCTTCGAGCCATACTATACCTTCCCCCCCTCTTCGTCACCCCCCTCTTTTCGACGGGACGTAAGAGTGACCTTTCGCCCGAGTGACCTTTGGTGCGGGCCCAGTCGGGCCCCCCGATCGCCGAGCGCGAGGCGGCAGCAGCGGCTTGCGCGCCCAGGTTTGGCCACCCCGCCGCCCCCCAAGAGCCGCGCACCGAAGGTCACTCTTGCCCAGGGTCACTCTTGCGAGTCGCCAATCTGTGCTGCTCCCGATGCTCCGAGGCTTTTTTTGGCCCGGCCTCCCTTGGCTCGCGCGGCGTTCCCGGCCGCCGAACGGAGGTCGGGCCCCCCGCTCGGCAGGCAAAAGCTCTCCGCGGGCTCCGAGCGCGGGCTCCTCCTTTGGGCGGGGCACAGGCGCGCCGCTCGGCGCGGCAGGGGGTAGAGAACGGCTCCTCCGGAGGGGGCCTGAAGTTTTCTTTTGTGTCGGGTGTTAGCCAGCGTGGGCTTTGCCTCCTCCCGACCTCGTTCTGAGGCTGCGCCCCCCTTTTCCTCCCCCATCTCTGGTTAATTCAAGCTTCGCGCGGCCCGCTTAGCTTCGACCGGAAGAGGTGCGCTCTCGACCCGCAAATCAAAAAGGTGTTAGCCAGCGTGGGCCCCAAGCAGTCATACATGTATACGTATGTATATGAAGATATACACCTGTCTAAGTCTACATCTACACACCTACATCTATACATATGCATACATATTCCTATACACACATATGTGCATATATCTATATATATATGTACATCTGCATGTGTGTGTGAATGGATGCATGCATGCTTATACACGCATGTATACCGTGCAACGTGTGCGTTGCAATGCAGGTGGTGAAGGCTGGTTCGTGCAACCCCAGGTGGTGACATTCATGTGGCGCAGAACAAGGTTGGTCACTGCGAAACAATGCAAAGCAATGCAACGCAATGCAAATATTTTAAGCCAGTGCCGAACAGCGCACACAATTCATATCCATGCTTTGCAAATCAATGCAACGCATTGCAAAGCGATGCAAGGCAATGCAATGCAAAACAACGCAACGCAATGAAAGGCAATGCAACACAATGCAAGGCACTGCAAAGCAACGCGAAGCAATTGAACGCAAGGCAAAGCCATGCAGAGAACTGCACATCGATGCAAGGCAACGCGCAAAGATGCAACGCACTGCAAATCGATACAAGGCAACTCGAAGCAATGCAACACTGCAAAACAATGCAGAGCAACGCAAAGCAATACAATGCAATGCGACGCAATGCGATTGCAACGCAATGACTGCAAAACAACGCACAACATGTACAACGATGCAGTGAAATTCAATTGCGATGTGATTGCACTGCGGCTGCAGTACGCTTGCAATGGAACGCAATGCGAAGCAGTGCGGAGCAACGATGCGCGGTAGCGCAGAGCAATACAGCGCAATGCCAAGAGATGCAGCGCAGTGAAAAACAATTCAGAGCCATGCGAAGCCGAACCACGCGATGCAATGCGATATGCGCTCCAGTGCAGCGCAAATGCACAGCAGTGCAAACCAGTGCAAATCCACGAAAAGCAATGCAGAGCAGTGCAAATCAACGCGGCGACGGGCGGCGAGGAGCTGGCAGGACCGCCGCTGGGGCCCAGCGGCGACGGGCGGCGGCGAGTCGGCGGGACCGCCACTGAGGCCCAGCTGTCCTGGAAAGCAAATACAGAACCCCGTGAGTGAAATCGCTCTTGGGATTATTTGATTGCCTGTGGGGAGAACGAGGATTTGTCGACTCCAGGCGGTTCGCTGGCCAAAGAATTTGGGCCTCCTAAGTGTTTTTGTGTGGGGAGATTGGCATTGACGAAGACTCCCGAAGAGTACAGTACAACACGGAAGGAACGTCAAACATCGATCTGGGAGGAAGAGCTGGCCAGGACGGCTTTTGTGAGGGGTCTGGGGATCGATTTGAGCGGATTTCGAGCAAGTTGACGAGAACAGGAGGGGAGGAGCATGATCGATGATCGAGTATTCTAGGCGAGGATCGGGGATCTTTGAGCATCGAGAATCCAGGAGGACTGAGGATGCCCTGCCTGCTGGTCGTAGCGGGAGGCCCTTCATAGAGTTCATTGGCGATCCGAACGGCTCCTATCCAGCAAGCCTTCCGGCACCACCCAATCCCGAGGGAGGACGACACATCCGATGTGGGAATCATGAGGAGGATGTCAAATGGGGGCAGGGGGCCCAAAGGGGTGATGGTGGTGAAGATGGCGATTGTGTTTGTGATGGTGATGGTGATGGTGATGATGATGATGATGATGATGATGATGATGATGATGATGATGATGATGATGATGATGACGACGACGACGACGACGACGACGACGGCGGCGGCGGCGGTGGCGGCGACGACGAGGATGATGATGATGATGATGATGATGATCATGATGATGATGGTGGTGGCGGTGGTGATGATGATGGTGGTGGTGATGATACTGATTGCGATGATAATGATGATGGTGG